ATAATCTCAAAAATTTTAAGAAAGTGATAGAATTGAAAATTTTTTATGAAAGTGAGATGAATTTCTCTTTTTTTGATATCAAATTTGTTTGGATTATTATTGACATAATAAAAAATTTTATAATGAGAATGATTTTTTAAAAGAATTAAAATAAAAATAGAAATTAAATGTTTGAATATAAAATAACGGGAAGAAAGAAAAATGTTAAATCATATTTAATTTCAGATCTGAAAATCTGGAATTGCAAAATTTGGTAAATATATACAAATCAAAAGGCAGTTTAAAAAAAAATTAAAATATAAATATAATATAAATTTTTTAAATGTTAAATATTCTTAGAATATATAATTGAAAATTAAAAAAATGTAAATAAACGAATGAATTTGGAGAATTTCTATTTGAAAATTATAGAAAAAATTTTTTATAAATAAAAATTTAATTCTAATGAAATAGACAAAATAGAAACAAATTAAAAAAATTAAAAAACAGAAATAAAATGAAAAGGCAGTATACCTAGGGAAATTACCCTAAATTTAGATCTCTTAATATTCTATTATTTATCTATAATAATTTTAAAAAAAAAAGCCTAATAAAATGAATCCATATTAGAATATAAGAGATTATGACAAAGAAAGAAAGCAACTGAAAGGAAAGAAAATAAAACCAAGAAAAACTTTTAATTATAAAAAATAATAAAAATATATTTAAAAAAACAAAATTTTTTATTCAGAAAATATATTCTTATATATATAAATATATAAGAAAAATCAAGAAGAACAAAAAAATCATCTTTTAAAACGAAGAAAAGACAGAAGAAATAAATATAAAAATATATATAAATATAAATATCAATATATAGAATATATATATGTAAAATATGAACTTTTAAAAATTATGCTTTAAATAACAAAAAAGGATTTATAATTTAGAGAAAAGAAGAAGAAAAGAAGAAAAGAAAAAACATTTCAATAATAAAATTTAGTAAAAAAAAATTATCATTAAAAATAGTTTCATCGGAAAAAAATTAAAAAAAAAATTTGTTAAAGGAAAAAAAATAAATCAAAAGTAAGGAAGAAGTTGAGAAAAATGTTAAAAAAAAAAAGAAAAAGAAGAAAAAACTAAAAAAGTAAATAATTTGTTGAAGTAGAAAATATTTTTTTTGAAAAAAAGTAAAAAAAGCCTCTCAAAAAAAAATAAAGAAACGAACAAACAAAAGAAAAGAAACAAAAACATAGGTTGTGGAAAAAAAAAACAAAATTTATAAAAAAAATCAAATGTATGAAACATAATCTATCTGAAATTCTGTCAAAAGATTGAAAGAAAAAAAGAAAGAAAGAATTAAAGAAAAGAAAGAAATAAAATAAAAAAATCAAACTAAAAAAGAAAAAAAAGAAAGATTTTTAGAAAAATCATACAGAAAATATTTTTATTTTAAAAAAGAAGGGGATAAAAAGAAGAGAGAAACCTATGCAATAGAAAATTGAAATACTAAATACGGTGTTTCAAAAATTAAGATTTTATCTGTCTAAAATAAAACAAAATAATTTTTTACTTTCTTATTTAAAAAAAATAATAGATATATAATTATGAATTTTTTAAAATAATCAAAAAAATTTAAAGAAAAACAATTAAAAAAAACAAAAAACAGTTATTTTTGTTTAACATTGATTTAATAAATCTTTACAAAGGGATCGTAAAAATATATTAAATTTTAATTTTAAGCAAAGGATCAAAAGTCGATTAAAAAAATAAACCAAATTCTTATTAGTTTAAATAATCCAAAAACAATTTTAGAATTTGTTTGCAATGTGTGTTGTGTTTGTTGTTTGAATAAATATTTCAAATATATAAAATATATATATATATAGTTATATATATATTCTATATATATACATTATTATTTAGGAACGGAGGCTTTATGAAGTGGTTTGTTCAGTTTGTTAAAATCTAGATAAATCTTTTTCCCAGAATATCAACAATAATCCGGTTTTATTGTGTCGCCTTTCATTTGGAAATGAAAAAAAATTTTTTAAATTCAGCGATAATTTTAATAGGGATTATTTAATTGGAAATCCGGAGATCGTTTTTTTTAAAAATTAATTCTTTCAAGATTTTTAAGGCATTGCTCATTGTATGATAAGGGGTTTGATAGGTCTAAATTATAATAAACAGATAGGAATGATCAGAATCTAAATGAGGAGACATATTAGTGGATATTTTCAATGGATGTTTTTTGTTGACATTACATTTAAATAGTTGGAGATTATATTAAATCAGTGAAACTGGAATAGGGAAGGGAAAAAAAGAAAATGAAAAAAAATAACCTCATATTTTCTTACATAAATACTTTAGGAAAAACACAGTGAAATGGACAAAATATTCATGAAATTTGTATAGATCAGAAAATAAAATATGGGAATTTTTTGAAGCATGCTCGGAGAATTGTGAAGAAGTAACACTTGATTTTATGAAAATATAAATGATATAATTTATTTCTGAG